CTCTGCTCCTATTGGCTGTAGCGTGATATTATTATATAGTGTGTGTATACTTATATCCTTACTCTATAAAAGGACCATCTAACTCTGAAAAAGATAATACTTTAAGAGATTTACTTCCTTTACGTACATTGCAGACAATTCTGCTTTAGAGGATTGGTATAGATTTCTTTTAGTATGATATTTTATTGTTCCTATCGTTTTCATTACAATTAATCTTTTTTAACGATTTTCTTCATCAATGTCGTTAATGAAGTAGAAATCGAAGATCTTCAGTGCCGTAATTATATGTAAGCGCAGATTTCGCCTCTCATAATTTGATGTATGTTGAATTTCCTACATCATAGAGGAAATTCGCGATTTCCTAAATCATATTTCCTGGAAATAGATCAGACTATCAAGAAAAAAAAGAGATATATTTTCAGATATGGTGTTTCATGTTATTTTCAATTAGTTATATTGGAATGGATGGATTATGCATCGTTTTCAAGAAGACTGGGTCGTACAGGTTATAGGTGATATGATGATGATTTCTATATATGTATACAGCTGTGTATACATATATAGAAATCATTTCATAAATTTAGTGTCGCCACGGTTGTACGTTTTTTTTATTATAGACGAAATTTCATAAATAACAGTTTGTTAGAGGAAAGAGCCACACAGTGATTTGTCTCCAACAAGCTGTCTATAAGTGTTTACTTTACCATTATTATTTCCACTATCATTTGTCATGCTCAGTGGAGTCGTGAAGTCAATCAGAGGTTAAAAGTATTAGAGGAAGAATTCAAACAAACTATCATTTGTAAAATTATATATTTATGTTGCTTCATGCGAGCCTTGCGTAGGTAGTTATATATCTCTTTATAACGACACTAAAGTAAAAATTAGAAACATATGTCATGTGGATATAGCAAGAAGATATTGATTTAAATATTACTTAATTTATTATATGTATTTAGCTGTAATATTAATATATATCAAATCAAACAGTATTGGATGATATTAGAATATGGGTCTAGAATGAATACATTAGAGGAAGTATGAAAGTGGCACCGGTGTCAGAGAGGTTGAAGAGTAATCGTCTATCATGGTATGGACATGTAATGCGTAGGAACGAGGATAATATTTTAAGAAAGGTGTTATATATGAATGTGGATGGTTATAAGGGCAGAGGAAGGCCGAAAAAGAGATGGATGGACTGTGTGAAAGATGATATGGTAAGAAAGGAAGTAAATAACGCGATGACTGCGAACAGGGATGAATGGAACCGAAAAACATATTACGCCGACCCCAAATTAATGGGATAAGGAAGAAGCAGATGATGATAGAATATGGGTCTAGGATCAGGGTGGAGATCCTAGACCAGAGTAAAGTATTTTTAGAAGAGTATTTTTCTTGTATGTAAATACATTATATACCTATTTAAATCTAAATCAGATAAAGAAATGAATCAATTTTAACACTCTTCTCTACCCAAAGAGTGTCTGGATAGAATCGCTTAGGATATAAGAGCGCCTTTTGTACTTCCACATTAAATTGTTCCTCGTAATATACTTCTGGTGCAATAAAGATTTAATAAATAAATTTAATTAGAAAGTCGGTATATTGTGTTACAAAACGTGAATAAAAGATGAGACCTAAGAAATCCTTTTCCGAACCAAATAGACCAACAATTTCTGTAATAGAGCCATTAGAAATCGCCGCTAAACGGTCAGTGTGTCAGGTGTTTTCAATTGTTTTACACAAACATGTCTGAGGTATTAAAGACAATATTGACCATTGGTGACTCCGGATTTACTCATCATAGTTTTCTGTGTCTTCGGACTAGTTTTTCTACCATGAAATAGCAATATGTATGCTATTATGTTCTAAAGATAGCCGGCGCGGCGTAATCACTAGCGCAACAGTAGAGCGTTGAGGAATGAATCGCTTTATTGTCATCACTGTAACTGTAGTCAAATTGAAGTGAATCGCAATATATGCAATATGTTGCCGTATAAACCACTTGGGCTGAATATAAATAGAACAAACAAGTTATCAAAAAGTACTGTTAAAAGATTTGTCATTGTTTTCACCGCGAATTCCGAGACTTAGATCTTTTAACATTTTATAACATTATCAGGGTTCGTGCTAAATTCTCTTGAATTAAATTGTATAGTGATCAAATCAATCCACTAATATTTCGCAAATTAATAATATCATTGCATGTACATTTGATTAAGTACACAATACTATGCAGAAAAAAATGTAGTTCAATTTAGAAGTATTTTTCGACCTTTTTGGTAACGTCCACTACGTTACGAAAATAGTCTGTAAAGATTTACCTACAAGAGAACTCATTTGAAGTCCTTTTAAAAATTTTACTTTTTAAATTAGGTATTCATTTTTTACTTTATTACGGCCCATATTAAGCCCAATGACAATAGTGTTGAGAATGGCTGATAATACCGTGACATAATAATATGCTACATAGCAATTACTGTAGAGTTGCGTGCGCCAGTCTCAAGATACATAGTCCGTGAATTTTTTGTTCACATTGACGTGTGGATAATTTCATTATTTTTAGGTCAGTAGCATTAACACGGGTTTGTATAATTTTTGCAAATAATGTGAAATACTTTACATGCGACAAAATCTTAAAAAGTAAAACCGACGAGTGACATGAGAAGGAAAATCCGAAATAAACTCCTATATTAAATCGCTTGCCTAGCGTCGTAATAGTAAACTCTTTGTTATACGAGAATATTATTATGTATAAAGACTCTTAGGCAATATCAGCAAAATATAGAGTTGTTATTTACTTTGAACGTTCCACAACTTAACCCGCATAGTTACGAGAACAAATTTGTGTATGTAAATATTTATATCCCCTTGTGAACTACCTATTGCTGAAAACAGCATTAAAATCTGTTGCGCAGATTAAAGGACACAAGTGTAGAGACAGCAACGGCGCGGCGACTTTGTTTTATACTATGCAAAGGTAACGAACTGTATTCGTATTTTTCTTTGCAATTGTTACGAAACTAATTCCATTTTAGTGGTAATAAAATTACAATGAGACTATTATTATAGTAAATTATAATTATATTGACCCTGGATAATCCACACAGCGCCATCTATCTATACCTCAGTATCTAAGCAGAGCTTGTGTTATGTGTATAAGAGAACTGATATATATCTTTTTGGAAATATATACATAAAACACACAGACTAATACAAACAATCAAATTCATAAAATGTTCGCATCGTGTTAGGAACCGAACCCGAACATCTGAAGTAAATCCTAGCCATATTGCTTAGATTGTAAAATGCGTCATCAGAAATTAGTGCGAAATTTATGACTATAAAAATAATAATAATCTCATAATAATTTATTTTCGTAAATTTATAGGTACATAGAAAATTCCCAGACTCATATAAACGATCTTACTCATGAATACAAATGTTTTTGCCATGCTAGGGATCGAACCCGCTATCATCGGAAGTAAGGTGGTGTGCTACACCGATAGACCAACCGATAATAAAATAATAAAATATCGTAATACAAAATAAAATAACAACTGTCATCAATCAGAATAAACAGTTTACAATTTTAAAACATAAATCACGCAAAGGAATAAAGCTCGTCTATAGATGACAGAAAGGTGTATAAGTGGCTGTGAGAGACGAAAGTGGAATCCAGCTTGACCGGTAAATAGTGTATATAGGAAGGTTACATGCTCGTTATCCAGGATCGAGAAAACAGCTTTCTATTCTGTAGATGTTCTCAAATAAGCCTTAGTTATTTATTTTATAAATTGGCCAACAAAATCTTTCCACTTCTATCGTATTTACTATTGTGTTTTACTGTTTTGTATTTTTACTAAGTAGGAAAAATAAAAAAGGGACACTCTTATATTATAAATGTATTCCTACTGATATTATAAATACTAAGGTGGCAATCTATTATATTTGTTCACAGCTGAACGGATTCTAATGTTTGATCTAAAGAGGATTGTACCACGGCGACATAGGTTATCTTTTATCTATTATAAAATAAAAACATATAAAGTTACGGGTAACAGCCAGTTTCTAGTATAATAAGTAGCACAATATCCGGACTTATATTTGATATTGTGGTGAGTTATATAGAAAACGTATATATCTGGATTTAACTTGAATCTAGTAAAGTGTCTCTTGCAAGTTTAAAACTAAAATATCTATTTTCTTTCTTATTTCTATACCTGCTTGTCCATCATTTCTTATGTTTGTTGTATTACTATGTAAATGTAGATTTATAATCCTTTAAAGATTTCGTAGTTGTAGAATGGTCTACGTAGTATCTATTTCCTATTGATCGAAATTTTCGCATGGAATTCAGTTAGTCTACAAATATTACAGAATCGAAGAAACAAGATCTCGTTTCTTCGATTCCGTAATATTTATAAAGCAATGTGAAATATAGACTAACTGAAATCAATGCGAAATTTTCGATTGGATTAACATAATGGACATTTATTACCGTTTGTTGTCATGTAACGTGAATAGATGAAATATCTAAGGCAATTAGATTAGGAAATACCTATAAATATAATATCTAGAATTTATAATTGCTGTATATAATTACATAGATATTTATACTCGTGTAAACGTATAGAGCTATCTAAGTATAATAATGCAGTTTGAGTCAGTCAACTAATTAGCTAATGTGGACTGGTCATATAATATATTCGATATGTAAATTTTAATCAGATTATGACGTCATGGAATTTACTAATCGTAATTATATTTTCCCATGTACAATTAACAATAAGTGTAAGTATCAGGATATGTAAAGAGTTTTGGATCAACGTGAATGAGATACAATAATGTTAGTTGGAGTTGATTAGTAAGATTAGAATATTTAGAATAGTTAATTCTTAGTAGTAACATAATACAAATTAGAGTTTAATAAAATATATGTTTTTTAAGAAACCATCAACTTCGAACGTGGAAAAATTATTAATTTTGTCAGCGGTTACCTTAGATCCATTTTGATGAAATCTCAAATTTTCCATTCGAATATCTTCGATAAAATTAAACAGGTACACTTATTTGTTTCACCAAGCAGCTGATATTGAATTCATACACTATCAAATTATTCACTTTCGTTGCACAAAAAAAAATCTTTCACTTCGAACTTGAACTTTTTCGAATTTTTCATTCGACATTTAAATATTGTGTGATAACTAATCACGGTTATTCATTGCCAGTTATATTGACAATTCATATTTTGTTTTTAAATGATGTCTAGTATGTATTGGAAATGTGATAGAAAGCCATGAATTCCGGTAGTGGACTTTCATCGAACGCGTGCGACGACGCGCTTCGGCACCGAGCGAGTGAGGCGCAGGCATTGATACCGGCATGTGCCCATTCAATTATAATTGCTTTTTTTTGATGCACTTAAATTATATATCATATTCAGTTCTAGTTTTAATTCCTGTTATTAATGTAATATAGATCATAAATGCCCGCCAAATGGCGGTAAGATTAATAGATAATATATTTATGCGTAGGCTTTGACTTAGATTAAGCAGGTGCTTCCAATTTTGTTATTAGTCCCTACACCACATTTAGCATTTTAGCTAGAGTATCGCTTATATCAATAAACAAATATTAAGCTTTTATATATTATTGTAGATATTCTTCAACCTCCGGAACTGATGTTTCTATTTGAAAAAAAAAGCTACTTTTTTTGCACGTAAATATAGGTTTAGACGTCAATTTATCTAATTATAAAAAATCGTTTTTGTTTTTAGGTTATCTAATCAACTCGTTAGGCATTCTGTATAAGTACGCAGTTATTCAGTAGGTACTCAGTACCTATGCTATGCTAAAGCACAACTCTCTTCGGCTTGATAGACACTGGCCACTAATATAGCCTTTCACGAAGTATCGACTAAATCTGTGCTCATCTGTCTCTTTACTACACATCATCTAGCAACAGGTGTGAAAGAGAAAGGCGGTAGAGAAATTCGAATGCAACATTTTGCATCGCTCTTTATACATACTTTTTTTCTGAAATGAACCCTACACCACTGATTATTTATTACGCGGTAAACTGGAAATCGGTTTTTAAGTTTTGGCGCGAATGAATAAGTGAAAGGAGCAGTTAGGTTATTTAAAAATTGATAAGTTTTCATAAGACTGACTAAGAATGTTATAAAATAAAATTTACGATAAAAATGTTATAAAATAAATTTGGATATGTTATAACAAAAGCTGTGCATCTTTTTTGTATAAATGTTGAAACTAAAAAGATGACGTCGAAATGTGAAATAAGTGTAAAAAATCTCAAAAATATATAATTTTGATGATTCTGTACATATGTGAAGAGAAGTTAGTATATTTTGAGTAACATTAGCAAGTATAATTTAACAAATTATTTCTTTTTTAAAATAATACTGTATTATTTTAAAAAAGATACAAAATAATTTTGCATTTTACTCCGTTGTTGTTGTACGTGATATTACAGTTATTTATCTATATAGTAACTTAAGATAAATATATATTAATATTATTAATAATGGAGACTGAGAAATTTGTTATGAGGAAAGTAAACTTCGAAACTACAACACCAGTTTTAGGAATTCTTTGATGTTTTAAAAATAAAATGTCGAAAAGATATACAAACTCACAAATTTATGAACACCCGAACGATGCCGGGCCAAAGAAAAAAAATTTTTTCAATAGCTTCCTTCAACTTAATCTATAACGGGATTTCAATGAGCTGAGTATGTTATGTAGATCCTTAGCACCGGTAAAGTTGTCGCTATTAAGATCCCGTTGCTGACCAACTACGAAATTAGTTTCATTCTGATTGTCTATGATATACTATTTTTTAATCCATGGCTTGTAAAAGTAATCAGCTTGTTTTAAATGTATCTTATGTGGTATTTTAATACATTTTTGGTGCTTATTTTTGCCTCATATGGTTTTAACATAGATTGTAGTTTCTTTGGATTAAAATATAATTCATTATGTACCCTCATAGTGAAATTGTCAAACTGACTCACATTGCTACCTACTAGATATTATTAACTCTTAAAGTGAGTGAATGTGACAGATTTCACGCGCGTTTCTTTTCATGCGACGATTCGTCTATAATATTTGCAATATATTTTCGTCAACTCTGCTAAGCTCATTAGTAGCTTTTAGTCACATTTCACAAAAGTGAAGTGGATCAATTCAATGATTTGCAATATACAATCTATTGCAATAGATATTAAATATTATATGCAGCGTATTTAAGCTAAAATTTAAAGCTAGTATTTATTTTTTTTTTTAATTATGAAATTCATTTTATTATACATTAATTTATCTCATATATACTGGACATGATTTTTTTTTAATTTGATCCTATAGTGTATTATTTCTCATTTTTCATTAGTGATTGTTTACTATTATATTTAATATCCTACAATACAATATACCATAGTGCTGTACTCGAATTGTATTGAATGGCATATTTACGTCATACCATCAAAATAATTTTGACACATTGTACAATGGACTATAAAATTTCTATTCCAAAATCTTAACATCTCACGTGTCATGTTCTCCATCTAAAATGATCTTAGATCTCCAAAGAAAGGTGTTTATTTCTCACGCTATTTTAGAGGTCAGTCTATTCTAAGCCAGCACTGCGTATGTTATTGTTTCGGTCTGAATCACACTGAGACAAGAGCGCCGCGTCACATATATTCTGCTATGGCTTACTGAGAAAGGGGTCCATCGAATAGGACTATATAAAATATAATAATGATATATAAAAAAGATTATAAACATACTAAATACAACAATATTGATAATGACGGCCTCGGTGGTCTAGTGGTTTAGCACACCGCTATACTATCGATGTCGCGGATTTGATTCTTCGCACGGTGCAAACATTTGTATTCATAAGTATGTTGTTTTGTATTAGCACAGATAACATAATATTACATGTATTAGTATGGTTATGAGTATTCTAAATCTAAGTATTTATGATGAGGATAATGTATTTATATCAGTTGTCTAGTATCCATAACACAAGCTCTGCTTATTGCAATAAATAAAGCGTCATCCAGTCCCACGGGACTAGAGTGCAATTACAGGATACGACGATAGATGTCTTCGTCATCCGGAATAGCAACGCATACCACGGGCGTCTGTGAAAGTCTTCATGTACGATATAGGCGATGGTTGCTATTTACCTCCTGGCAGGCTGTCAGCTTCCGACATTTTAGTTTCATAATAAAAGGGTTTAGGGTTTAGGTGAGCAATCAGCTTGGTGGCAAGAAAGGGGCAACCAGACATGCCATAGAGAATCTTGTACAAGTCTACCACGGTTTTGTCATAATTCTGATTGCTGCAGGCATCAATTCTTACTAACCCGGCAACATTATTAGCACCCACTTTGTATAAATTTGAAGTATCAATATTTAAATATACCTATCACAAGTGGTGATGAAGAAATATCTTGTTACTTTATTGACATCTTAGTTTTGTGCAACAGTATCCATGGTACTTGACCTGACTTATTGTGTAATGGTTTTTCTAATACATGTTCATTTGTTTGTTACCAATTGTGTTCAATATTTCGACACTAATGATTATGTTTTTGGTATTTATCATTGTCATTATATATCAATTTGCTACTTTCTAATGAAACAAGATCTTAAGTATGCACAAAATTATGATTGAAAAGATTTTCTTCTTGCCATTTCTTTTCGATTTTCATGTCTTTAGTTTCTTGTCTTTTTTCTTTTTTTTTTTTATCCACAAAGGTAGTCAGGAAAAGATATCTTAGCGATATGACCGTCTTTTATATCAATCAGTTCATTTAATTTTTTTTTTCTGCATTTGGTACAATAATAAATAGTAATATAAATAAATAGTCTTCACAAAATGTTTTAATTTTACTATCACAGTGAATGCAATGGTAAAAGTGAGTGACTGTGATGGTAAAATGAAAGTATTGCCATTTTACTTACATTAATTTCTTTGAAAAATATTTCTAAATGTGCATATATATTGTTTTACAAAAAATATTCTACTAATCTAGACGATGGCATATACCCCATACCAGGGACTATAATTGAACACATACTTTTCATTTTGTTTTATTTGCTAAAATATAATATAGCTGTTAGTTAGTTCGTTAGTAAATGTGTTTTACAAATAGAATATGCCTGTATGTAACTCAATAAAACTTTTATATCTTCACTGATATGTGTTCCATCTATCATCGAGTTCGATCATTATGAGAAAGCACAAATGTTACTCACAAAAATTATACGTATTATCAATAGTTAACACTAGATGGCGCTGTTACTAAGTTATTTACTGAAATAAAATTATACTTTTAAAAATATAATGAAGTTAATATTATGAATAAATAGATTTACGTATAATTAATTTATAAGGATATAATAAGAAAATTATCTTTTTAAAATAGTTAGATATAAAAAGATCCATACATGAAATGTTAATTTATGTTGATACTTTTGCAGTAGTCAGCAGCAATGTATTAAATAGTAAGTAGTGGCGAATAATAGATGGCGCTGTGAAATACATCGTACACTAATTGTAATGATTGTCATAAATATCAGACGTCGCCCTGCCTGGAAACGTTTATGTTTTGTTTATATTTGTCTCACCTACCGTGTTCAATGTGCTTTTTTTAACAACTTTACTTCTGTACTGGGTTTTGTACTGTACTTTTAGATGGTTGACATTTTATGTATTTAAGTTGCTCCTTCATATATTGTCTACACTACACAATAGTAATAATATTGAGGGGATTGCCCCATTACTAGCAATGTATTATACTATGTCACTTAACCTCTAATTGGTTCCCCCTGGAAACCATCATGTTAAATTTCTAGTGAATTTAGCATGATGGGCTAACTGACCTGACCTCAAGCTCATCTTATCGTCCCCCACTGATGGCCCGCCAGCATAAACGATAAGGGCAGGCGGGTGCACCAGGTGGTATATATTTATTAGTATAGCATATTAATTGGCATGAAGACGGTAAAAGAGCCCAGTTTATTTATAAATATTGTATTTTTGATCATCGAAGTATGGAAGTAGAGCTATTCAGCTTATTATCTTAATTTTTTCACAGGACAATTCGAACAGTGCAATCTGGTCCCAAGCTAAGCAGAGCTTGTATTATGGATACTATATAATTGTTATAAATACATTGTTACATTTCTGTTCTTAAATACATAGTTTGAAAATACCCAGATTGATACAAACAATTATTTGCCACTGCAGTTTTCAGCAGCACAAGCAAGAGAAATATGAACGTATAATTGTTCATTAATTCTTCATTA